CTCAGTGTGAAAGATTTTTTTCTATATTTTTACTTTTGTTTTTTGGATTTGGAACGCCTTCAGTGTCTAACTTGTGTGTTTCTCAGCAAAAACGGATCTAAAATAAATAATTCCAAACACACACATGAAAAAAACCCTCACTTTAGATGTTGTGATCATGTGCAAAAACATACAAGTTAGGATTTGAAGCTGTTCTAGATCCAATTATCACATGACAATCTTAGGATATTTAAAATCTTTTTTGACAAACTTTTTACTATTCTGACTGTAAAAACAGTACAAACTGAATTGCATGGCTAAGAAGTTGCAGTTTAGGGTTTGTAAGACATGTCAGTGTTAGAGTTCTTCTGTTCTTTTCTGTAGATGGGCATGTATATTGCTCATTGTTTGTATATCCCCATCCCTTCCTTACAGCCAAAAGCTCTAATGCCGCCCGACCGCTTCGTACTGCCTTTACATGGACATGGCAACTGACTTACACTGTCACCCTCATCATCCTCATCTCCTCTGTAGTATGTTCATAGGTCCAACCCCTTCTTCACCTCCTCCCTTGTCTTTAGAAATATTGAAATATAAAGTCATCCATCCATTCTACACTAAAGAGCAAATTAAGCAAAAACTGCGACAAGAATAGAGTTTAGGCATCACTGAAGTCTCTTGCTATGAAGAAAATGCAGATTTTTTGTAAAGAACAAAAGAAATAATTTACAAGGAAAGAAACAAAACTTTAAAAACAGATTTATGGTGTTTATTTTTTCTGTTATGTGGTGTGGATGTATGTGCTGTTGCCTCCCTGTACCGCCATTTTTTTTTTAAGATAGAACTCATTCTTCAGTGGATAAAAATTATCTTTAACGGTATTCAACATTCTTACACAGCTTTTCCTTTGTAAATTCTTTTCCTCTTGCCTAAATCATGCCGGCAATTTGTTGATGTAAGTTGACAACACACACTATGCATGTTCTGACTCTGGCTTTGAACTGATTGAAGAAGCAGTTTATAGAATGGGACATATTGTGAGTATTTAGGGTGACCAGATGTTCCTCTTTGTGTAGGAATGTGCAGCATTTTTGTCGTTTTCCATATCTCCCAAACAGAGATAGTGTTTCACACATTGATTGGTCTTTAAAAGTCAACACTGCATTGTATAGTTGCAAGGACTAAGCATTAAGTGGTGTTTTAAACTAGTTAACCTGTCTTTGAAGCCTTTACCTCTGACTAATGGGAAATTTGAAGAAACTAAATTAATGAAATCCATTTTTTCAGACTTTCATAGAGACAATAAAGAAGAATGGGAATTTGCAGCTACAATAAATCGTGGATGAGCAGAACTGGTGATTTGTGGAGCTAAACTACAGTAAAATTCAAGTTACACACACGTTTGGTTGCTGTTGCAAGGAATATAGTACTCTGAAATAAAACTTCCCTGAAAGCTTCATGCTCAAGTAAAAACATAAGATTACTCAGTCAATCAATCTTTATTTGTATAGCCCTTATTAGGCTCAAGACAACTCAAAGTGCTTCACAATGTCGTGTGTGGACCACATTTGATTCATTACACGCCTATTAACAAACTGTTATACAGAAAGCTATGGCAGTGGCCTGGAAGAGCAAATGACTTGTATAAAAATGTACCTTCATTTGTGACCTTAACCTTGAAGATGGGGTGATAAATAGTATAAAATTCGCACCAACTAGTGATAATACATATGTGTGTGAAGTTTATTAAAATTATCTTGAGCAGATCAGAAGTTATGGGTGGGACAAACGTAAGTTTACAGACGGATGAACTGATGGATTATACCATATGTGTATACCTGCATTCGATGGGTGCAAATTTTTTTTTTAAAGTGGTCAGAGAAGAAAACTATCAAAAGTTAGAATTTATTTTTTTTAAATAGTCACATAAATAAATAAAACATTAACGATCCATTAAAAAAAATAGAACAAAATATGTTTTTCAGGGTTCCAAGTGACTTTATTGTCATTCAAAGCACATTTGGCACATGAGGTGTAATGAAATTGTGTACACAAGGTTCCAGTTACACCCAAAATTAGCAATACTATAAACTATTTCAAATAAAAAAAACAGTATACAAGGATTTAAGATATACGCTAAACAATAATATGATATGGCATATTAAACAGCAGCCTGACCATGAGTCTGTTGTGAGCAGATGGGTATGAATATATCAGCTTATAGGTAGGAAATCAGCAGCATAGATAATCAGCAGCACAGAAAAAATGTCAAATCTCAGAATAAAGTGGCATTACAGTGATTATCCTGGTTAGGGATTTATAAGCCTAACAGCTTCAGGGTAGAAGCTGTTACTCAGCCTAGTGGTTCTACACTTAATGCTCCGGAACCTTCTACCTGAGGGGAGTGGGGCAAAAAGTGTGTGTGCTGGGTGAGTAGGGTCGTTCATGATGCAGGTGGCTCTCTTTCTGCTTCTGGAGGTGTAGATGTCTGTGATGGTGGAGAGGCTGACTCCAACAGACTTCTGTGCAGCCTTCACCACTCTCTGCTGAGCTTTTCTCTCTGCAGCTGTGCAGCCTCCATGCCACATGTTGATGCTGGAGCACAGGACACTCTTCACAGCACAGCTGGAGAAGGAGGTGAGATTAAGATTAGTCTTAAAAGCAGAGACGGTGACAAATTCACATACCCAAACTTGAAGCTGGTTCCTCGGAACTGGAACCGTAAAGGTTCCACCCTCCAGACTGGATTTCGTGATTCTTGGGACAGTAAGAAAGGTTTTCATTTTGTAAGAGGCTGAAACTGGTAACATGGTTTGATGAATTTATTGATGGAAGGTGACATCCCACCAGTAAGGGTTTTATAAGTCAATAGTAAAAATTGAAAGTTGATCCTAAACCGAACAGGCAGCCAGTGTAGGGAGGCCAGTAAATATCTCACTTGGTGGAACCAGCTAAAACTCTGGCACCATCTTTGTAGACTTTAGTTATATGCAATGGAACATCTGAAGAAACTACACATTTGTTTGGAGTGTGGCGCGTAATAATTTGGGCTTCTGATGCTCGCTGATGTTTTGGTGCTGAAAAACCTTGGCTTGGCTACAGTTATAGTGATGGATTTAGGATTGTTCACTTGAATTTTATGTGTCCTGACTGATTTTTCATTTGGATCTGGTCACCCTACAAGTATCTCACACCAAAATCTCCAAATTTGTTGGTGCTTTTTATCTGGAAGCTCTCAAACTGCATTTTTGATCCACATTTGTTCATGTGAAAACTGAATGACAAGATCTGTTCAGTCGTGATTTGTGTTTGTGAATGAACACGTTTGTGGTCAATTGTGTGTGCACGTGATGTTTTGTGTTGGGGATAAAGTGCATGAATGACTACAGCAGCGGATACGTTTCATATTAATGAGTTTGTAGCCTCCAGTTATTTTCGCTCCAGTGAAAATAATTGAATCTGTAAGATCACAAGTTAAACACATTTTTCCCGGCAGAGCTGCTATTGTGACAGAACTTAATGTTTTACAACATAACCATCAGTTTTTGTTGTCTAATTAGTGGGATTTCCCATCATGTGGGATCCTTTTGTCAGAATCACATACGTCTTGTTAAGACAGCACACAGTTGGGCATGGTTTGTTTCTATACAATACGGTCAAATTAGTGACTGGAAATGTTTATGATTTACAAACAAGTGACAAATTGGGAGACAAAAAGTCTATAGCAGTTCATTTAAGAACATACACAGATTTTCTTATGTTTACCTCAATCTTGAACATTGATAGAATATTGACTCCATGAGAATAATTGGAGGTGCTCATTTAATTTTGCATTTACTTGCATCTTTGCACAAATTAGATTTTCATTTCCAAGAATCAGCTCTGCATCTGAGAACTATTTGTTTAATTGTGTTACATTTTAAAAAATCATGGGTGTAAGAGGAACAGGGAGCCATTATCAAAGAAATAATGCTGTTGGTGTCGATTTTAATAGATACTGATAAATACTTGTTAAAATAAGTTCATAAATTATAATTATTTTCAAAAATGCCTTAAAAGAAGATTGCTTTTTGAACCAGTTTCAGCATGCTAGCTAATAAGCTAATAATAATTATTGCTAATAAGATAATAAAGTATAATCTTCATCTTTACTAATTAATTATGATGCCTAAACCTAACCAATCAGCAAGTGAAAAAGTGACCGAATGAATTTCAGCTGCTCTAATTAAAGCTGTTTTTTTGTATTTGGGCTCCCCTCACCTCTTAAGCCTTTTTTTTTAGATTTATGTCTGTTTTAAACAGAATTATATTAAACTGAATGTAGTTGGTGCCTCTTTTATTTTTATATTTTTGCCTCTTCATCAAAGTTCTTAATCCAAAGAATTTCCTTTTATTGTTACCACATGTTTTCTGTCCACCTCCAGGAGCTGAGTTAGACATCAGATCCATTAGCGCACCCCTCTGTAGCTCCTCGTGCACCCTTCATTCCCACTCCCTCAACCCACCACCCACTCCTCACCATTATTGAGACCACCAAAGAGTCCTTGTCCAAGGCCACTGAGGCGGGGGTACCTTGCTTGTCGGACCGAGGCAGCGATGATTGTGATGATGATGGCTTGGTGATGTCGGAGTATGGCTCTGGGAAAGCGTTGACGTCTGCCCCCACTGACGATGAAGATTTTTATTCGACCTGCTGTCTGGTAACAGCTACAACCTTGCCTACATCATGCTTTCAAGGCGCCTACAAAGCAAATGCACCCAGGACTTTTTGCCCTGACAAACCTTCCACCTTCAGACGCAGTAGGACTACCAACATCCCAGTAACCACCGACCAGAGCCGCACCACTCCCACCTCTGCCTCCACCGCAAATCTCCACAAATCTCCGGCAAAACAAATAACCGCAAGCTAAAACCCCAGCCCAACATAATGTTGCTTCCATTGCCCACATCCTTTGAGGTAGACAGCACCAAGCTGAGGGGCTCATTAATAATCTCCCCAATGTTCCATAATATACCCACAGCACTCCCCACAGAGCCAGGCGTCAGGCGAGTCCCAGGGCCCTCGGAGGTGGTCCGTGAATCTAGCAGCACCACCGGGATGGTCATCGGAATAGTGGCGGCGGCAGCCCTGTGCATCCTCATTCTTCTGTACGCCATGTATAAGTACAGGAACAGGGATGAAGGCTCCTACCAGGTGGACGAGAGCCGGAACTACATAACCAACTCAGCCGTGCAGAGCAATGGCGCTGTGATAAAGGACAAACAGCAGAGCCTGAAAAACAGCAACAAGAGACAGAAAAACAAGGATAAGGAGTATTATGTGTGACTGTGAGACTTAACTCGACAGAGCAAAGGCAGAAGAAGACAGAAGGCACTAAGATAACTTTTATTATCAGTTTCCCTGTGAGGAGCTGTGACAAATGATGGTATAACATGGAACTTGAATAATCCTATACTGTGCTGAGTAGTTGAACTGATATGTACTGTAACATAAAGCACACTTAATATAAAGCAAAAAGCTTAACGACAAGGTTAAATAGCAACTTTAGAAACCTTACACTTTTATCTGGTCAGAGACGTTGTCCTTAGAAATATTTCACGGCATCATTCTCCTAAGTGACTTTTAGAGCTACGTGATCCTTGGCATTAAACAATTTTTGTGGAATTGTCAATTACAAAAGGCTCGTTATCTTATACGTTTCCAGCATGTAAGCAACAAGTAGTGCTTAACGAGAGGGTGTCAGGCGCACAATGGTTGTACAAGTACAAAAGACTCTTGTATCAAAATATTACAAATTTTTATGGTTTCTAAATATTATAAGTGTGGTGTCTTACTTATTTTTGCTTAAAGCAAAAGAAAAAAGACAAAAAGAGCAGACAGACAACTATTCCTGTGTGTAAAAAATGAATCAAAGTGAGCCAGTTGCCGAGGGCAGACCTCATACCATCTGTTTGCTCTGGCATCTAATTCACCACAATTATTCTCATTGTCTGACAGACACAGTGACTCTCTTTGTGGAAAGAATTTGCCGGTTCTCTTGGTAAGAAGCGCCTGATTGTAAAATGCATGCCATCCTGATTCCACAGTAAGGTACAGTACAGTAAAAGTCCAGTATAGAGTGTTCAACTTGGATCGTGCAAAAACACTTCTTCATCTTCAGATCAGGACTTTTTGAACCCCTCAAAAGGTGTTACAGAACAACGGTCTATTATCGCTGCACAGCCAGTGGTGGTTTTATCTTTTTTGCAGAAGTGTGTGTTGGTTCATTGCCTATCATTCTCTTTTTCTATGGAGGTGTTAGGAAGAAGACAAATGCAGTACTACAACACTGTTAACACATGTGTATACAGAAATAAACCAGATGTTGAAAGTGTGAATTCTATCTGCTGTCACAGTCAACTGTGTCAAAAAAAAAGATAAATTTGTTTACATATTTTATTACATGCTATCTGTTGTACTTTGTAGGTAGTAAATTGTACATATACCATGACAGTTGTCATTTTTAGTACCTCTATTGTACAGACTGATGATATGATTTATCAACAAAATCTATTAACTGTTAATTTACATGAAGAAAGACTTTAACCAGACTGTGAAGGATCATATTGATATTCATAAAGAATAAAAATGTATTGTTAGCCTAGAAATCTACACAGAGATGTTTCTAAAGTTGCATGAATATTTAACTACAAATACAAGGTGCCCTTTCTTCTCTACCATGGCGTTTTTGTCCTGGGGTACGCTAATTTCTCGTTTTCTTTGTTTGCACTTTATACAGAGAGACGGAGCAGACAGTAAAAACTAGTAAAAATTCTATGAAAGGATGGGGTTCACTTTTTTAACGGGACCAATCACCTCAAGTCATAGCATCGCCTCTTTGTTTCGACAAGTTATGTTCCCATTTTCTGCCATTGCTACTGAACAGGTGGAGACGTTTTCTCAGAAATCATATTTTGTGTTACAGTTGTTACTTTTCATAACTTTTTTTTCATCAGTTTGATAAATAAAACATTGGGGGGTTTTTCTATGAATTTTTTTTTTTTGTACTCATTGGAGTAATTCCTATCTTGTGGTTAAACGTTCTGACCATAAGAAACTCAGACGTTTGTCTTATTTTCTGCATATTCCTCAAATTCATGGAAAAGTGAAAAATAATAATATGACCTTATAGCCTAAAGTAAAAAAAAGATGTAAATAAATTTTAAATCACTGGAACATTGCAGCTGGAAACAAATTGATAACAATTGCTATTTCAACAAAGTGTAAATTAGGACCCTTTGAGTAAACTTTTCTTTGTTATTGTGAGCTCCTGGGAGGAAAAAAAGACAAATATATATTTTCAACAACAAAACATGGGAATTCCATTTTTTTTTTTTTCCAGTCTTTTGATCATTTGGCTCCGTTCAGCAGTAAAAGCACCCGCTTCAAATGCTATCAGCCATTAAATGGCCATTATTAGTTGTTATCATCCCCATAGGTTACCTTCAGACTGTCCCTACTGTACCTCCTAGTGGGCTCATTAAATTATCATAGAATTAAAAGGTTACTGTTAGGGTTATATCTGAACATAATTATAGTACTTTATATATTGCTGAACTGTATATGAATTGATCAGAATGTCGCTCATATCAAACAAACAAAAAACAAAAAAACTCATATCCTCTCTTCAGTGAGTTCTTTTTAGATACTAAATTAAATCCTTATGACTGTTAAATGTGGAATTCATTTGAAGTAAATCTTTGAAATCCAGCTTAAAAGTAGTAGGTAAATTGTAAATAAAGGTTTTAAATAAAGCTAACAAAATAAAAGCTTCCAGTTTGAGACGTGACCAAAGTTGCATATTTTCAGCAATAAAAATTACGAACCTTTAAACCTGCTAGGAGGTATATGAGGGACAGTCTGAAGGCAATGTATGGGAATGATGATAATTAATAACCATCATTTAATGAGCTGATAACATTCAAACTTGTTGTGTAATTAAGACCGTAAACTCAGATGTTTTCTGTCATCGTAGAGGCCCCATACAAAGTCAAAATACAGCTCTAGCACCAAAACTTTTTAGAAACTACAGTGAGAAGAGTTTGAGACGTCTGCAACAACATGGTGACTGTCTTGAGAAGATTTGTTGCACAAATTAGTTGAATATGTTCCAAATCTAAACAATAATTCTGCAAGTCTTTGCAGCTCACACAGAGCAATTGAAGGGTCTTTGTCAACTCACTGCAATGCCAACTCACCCACCAGGTGTTTGGTAACACAATATTACTTCTAGATCTATATGATGATGAAGACTCACTACACTTTGTAACATTGTAGCTTAAATGTGTTTATATGGGTATTTGAACATCTATATAGATAATGCTTACAACCATAATATAAATCAAACTGTTCTTGCTAATCATGCATTAAACTGTGATAGTATTATACTGTTGAAAGTAACTTAAACTTTTGCTATGCAAAAACCAACTTGATTGACTTATGTAATTAGACGTGCAAGTTGGTCAGTTGCAGTGAGGTGACCTGTTTCCAAATTGAGTACTGTAAACATTGAGACATTTTGAATACTTCTATAGATGATGTTTGACAAGTAGTTACCAACAACCACAGTCCAGTGGGATACAGACCTAAAGATTCACTTTGGCAACAGTTCCAGTTTCAAATGTGCTATACTAATAAATTTGATTTGACTAAAGATTATTTTATACCATAAACCTTGACACTCAGACAATAGTTCTGAGTGCCACAATGCCGAACAGGACAAGGGAGAAAAAAAAAAGATTTTATACAGCAGATATTATTGATGAGTCACGAGGCATTCTTTCCAGTTCTGAGCAAAGCCTAAAACCTTTATTTTGACAAGAATGGGGTTTTGGTTTCATGCACGACACCAAACCAGGAATGGTTAAAAGGAGTTATTAAATCGCTGCTGGTTGAGGTCTGGTTCCAGGCACAAGTCCAGTCTGCAGAGACAGATGTGTTAGTGAACTTGGTTGGACTGTGAAGGTCCTGGGAATAATAATAAAGATGACAGTCCCTAACCTTCTCAATCGAGAGCAAGACATAATCCTGTAGTTGTTTGCAGATGATGACATCAAGAGCTGTGAGCAGGCAGAAGCAAAGAGCGGCAAAGCAGAGAACTGCTTTAGGGGTTGTACAGGGGCGAAGTCCAGAATGGCAGGCTTGGGTCATGAACCGTTGGTCAGAGAACAGAATCCAAATCCAGTGGATGACCCAAAAGTTGTAGTTGTGATAATTAGTGATAATTAGTGATGTGTCCTTCTGTGTCGAGGCTTTTAAGTGTGTGTCGAGTAATCCAGGAGGATTTAGGTGGGGCATGTATTGAGGTATGTATTAATGACGCATGTAGTGACGTTTGAGGCCTCGCTAGTGGGACGTACCATGTGACCAATTCAGGAACTGGCTCGTTTGTATATGCACAAGATTTGAAATATAAGGGGCAGAAATAAAAATCCATCATCATAAAGGCAGATTAAGATCATTTACAGGTCAAATTTAGACTTTATTTGAGGTCCTCACAAACATGATTTCTTTTTTCAACTTAAAGCTTCACAAACCAATTATGGTATTATAATCTATCTTCCTGTTTTACATTTATAGTCCACTTGATGGCGAAGTAGAGCAAATGAAGCACCTTGGTGTGTCGGATCATGAGTGGAGCTATTTGATGGAAAGCCTCAGTGCATCATGAAGCTTCATCTCACCATCACTAGTGATAATAAGATGGGTTGGTACCATGGTCAGATCTCAGAGTCCAGAACAGGCAAGGGCAAGGCGAGGAAACCAGAAGACAGGCGTGGGGTCAAATCAGGAGAGACGAGCAAAGCTATGGCATGAACGCTGGACATCTACTAACACTGTGGAATTCAATAATCTGGCAACAAGTGAGTGAGAGACAAGCTCTTAAATAGTGATCTGAACAGGTGCATGGAATTAGAGCTGATTATTGTGGAGGAGCAGCATGGGCATGGTGAGAGGTGGCAGGAGCAGAGCATGAAGCAGGAGAAACAAAACACGACTTATGACCTAAAGGAAGGGAGAAAACAGGAGCTGTGGCATGAGTGGCAAAAACTATGGCAGGTGGGGCAGAAATATGACACACATTTTCTTGACAATTCTTGTGTCAGGAGTTTCTGAACCTTGCCTTTGTGCACCAAGTCGTCTCATCAATCCACAGGTAAGTATCACCTTGATATTGTATCCCAGCAGAGTTAACCTTACCTGGTGCAGAGGTGGGGTTTCAGGCCAACAGCTCCAGCCCTGATCAGGCTCATTCCATGTGCTGAGTGTGCCAGTTGAAATGCTGAAAATTATAAATTTGGATGCACTGAAGCACCCTGGGACAGCAGAATGGCGGGATGTTTTCCACTGTGGCTTCAGAGCAAGAAGTTCTCCCCAAAACGGAACATATTATGGAGTTTTTAATGTTGTCCTTGTGATTTTATAGGTTTTCTATGGGTACTCCTCCAACAGTTCTAAAACATGTAGAATTGGTTAACTGGTGATTCCAAACTAACGGAGGATGTGTTTTCTTAAATACAGTACATTTAAAAATTCAAATATAATTTAAAGTACCACGTCAAACGGACAGTCAAACAGTCAAACGCTCTTCTAAAGATTAACCAATATAAATCTGAGCTCTGAATTGGTCAAATGTACAATAAACAGGTTGACAACCAATTTTTCTTACTAAGGATTTGCAGCAAATTCTGCACAAGGGATGGCAACATTTCCCCGGTAACGTTGGAGTAAAACTTGAGGTCTTTTGGAACAAATGTAAAACATTATGCTCAGTGGAAGCTCAACAAATCTGAGCGTATTTAAACCATCATGAAGAATTCCTGAAAGTTTCTCAGCTGTCAGTGTGCTGTTTCATTGCTCTGATCTAATGTATTTTTATTTGTATTTTGACTATTTTGATTAGCAGTCCATAATTTTAATTTGTGTCTTATCGTCATTTGTAGTTTCTGATTTTTTTTTTTTTTTCATTCGTTTATCACAGTGGTGCCAAGTTTGTTTTGAAAAGACCAAAACCAAATTGGTCAAATGGGAGCTTGCAGCCAAATCCAGAACATGGACCACCATTTAGCTTCCTGCATCTTAAATCCTGTACACATAACATCTGCAGACCTCGTCATGTCTACTTTGTATGATGGAACAAAGACATGGCCATCTTTCCGGTGTGACACGATATGTTGACGATCTCAATAAGTGTGTGGGAAGTAAATCTGAAAAAGCAACATTAAGTTTGTGCGATTTTCTT